GCGACAGCCCCGCCCCACACGGAGGCCCCGCCCCACACGCAGTCACGTCTCTCGCGGCCACGCCCCCTCGCACCTCCCTCTCCTCTTCCTTCCCCTGCGCCTTTCATTCATTTGTCTTGGGTCCGCTACGCAGCTGCACTGCGACTTCCGATCCGACAACTGTGACCTGGAAGTGATGTGCGTTCTGATGGGGCTGCCGAAGAGGTGTGGAAGCCCCAGGCAGGACCCTCAGTTTGGGAGCCCGTAGCCAGGAACGCAGGCCTTGGCGGGGTGGTCTCCATGGGGAGCCCTGGGCCCCTCCTCCGGGCAGAGAGGACTGAGGCCGGCAGTGAGGAGGCAGGGACCCGGGAGGCCATGGCTCGCTGGTGCATGGGCTCACGGGCAGGCTGGGCGCTCCAGGAGGAGAGACGACCTCGGGGAGAAGAGAGGCGCTGCTAGGCTGAGAATTCCTGGGAGGGTTGCTCTTCCTGGAGCTGGCGCCGCCCTGCCTGGGTTCGGGAGGGGCCCCGCTGGACAGGGTTTTGTAGAGTAAAGCGGCAGGAGGCATTGTCCAGTGCAGCGCTGAAGGATGGCACAAGGCCTAGGAGGGGAGAATCGGCAGGCTGATGGAGGTGGGTAGGGGTTACCTCTACTAGAACCTTGCCGCACTTCTCCCTGCCAAGAAAGCGCATATGAGCAAGGGCAGAGCTGGCCAGAGGCAGGCCCCAGCCATCTTTGTGTGTACAGCTCCAGTGGGGCCTGTACTGCAAGGTACTCTCAGCCCTGGGTGCAAGACAATTAAATACCCGTGGAGGGAAGAAACTAGGATTTGGATGTCTAATAACAAAGAAACCAGCCTTTTTTGTATTTAAAACTCAGATATCCATACCGGTGATCCTCACACTGCCTGCTGCTCAGATGGGTCTCAGACCACCTGCAGGGAAGCCTCCTTCAGACGCTGGGCAGCACATCTTCACTTAGTTACATGGTAAGGAGTTGCGCTGCCAACCCAAAGGCACATGGTTTGAATCCACCAGCTACTCTGCAGAAAGATGAGCAGTCTCTCCATTTGATCTACTGCTTCTGAAAAGTCACTGGAGGGTCAGTCTTGAATGGATTCTGACTTGACAGTACATGACAGTGACTCTGTTGTGTACCATAGAGTCAGAACTGACCCATATCTGACCCTCCAGTGGGGTTTCGGAGGCAGTAAATCACAGGAGATTGCCCATCCTTCTCCCTTGGAGCTTCTAATCACTAGGCCGCCAGAGCTCCTGACAGGCCAGAATATATGTTGTTGTTGTTGTTCTTGTTAATTGCCTTGAGTAGAGCATGACTCATAGAGACCCTATGAACAAAAGGCCTGAAGTCCCTCTACAACATATATCAAAGTTCATACAGCTTTCGGAGGCTTGTTATTTAGGAAGTGGATGCCACTCCTGCTTCCAAACCTGTCATAGTATGTTATTGTTGTTAGGTACCATTGACCTGCCTTCAATGTATAGCAACTCTCTGAATCCTGCCCTGTCCTGAACCTGTTTCACTAATTCTGACACAACAACCCCTATTACCCCAGTTACTGTATCAATCCATCTCATCCAGGGCCTCTCTCTCTCCTGTGCTGTCCCTCCACCATTCTGAGCATGATGTCCTCCAGGGACTGCTGTTTCCTGGCCACATGCCCAAAGTAAATGAGGCAGAGCTTCAGGCTTCAGGCGTTGATGTTTGATAAGGGAAATAAGGAGTTGATTGTTCTCTGTATCTTTTAAAACTTTTTATTGTCATTTAAAGATAAAGTTGGTTTCCCACTGGACAGTTCCTGCACCTCATAGGATTGCGATTCCCACGTTGTACAGAAGGCAGCTTCCCACTGACTCCCTGTCCTCATTTCCATTCGTCCTTTTCCCCCTAACCTTTCCTGCCTCCCGAGCTTTCACCCTGGGCAAACACTGGGGTCTAAGCTGGCCATGGGCTGGCTTTCCGTGTCTTTTGTTGTTTTGTCAAAAGGTGAGAATGCATCCTCCATCCAGGCAGCGTGTCTGAGGGGACCCGAGAGCCATCTCCTGAGTTTTCTTAGATGACATCTCACTCCTCTGGGAGTTTTTGCTGGCCACCAGGCCAAGGGTCTGGACTGCAGGTTCATGTCGCTCACCTTGGGCTCAGGGGCTCTGGCCTTAGCGACAAGTAAGTGTCAGGCAGGTGAGAGTGGGCGGGTGAGGGTATCTTGACAGAGGAGACCCACTGAGGGCCCTGCTCCCGGATGAAGCTGACCGGCACTCTGTTTAACCATCTCGTGAACCTTTCCTGGTTAAAGGGGGGCTCTGGTGGTGTAGTCCATGTGAAGTGAGCTGTTAAGCCTAACGCAGAGCCTCTCTGCTGGTTCAAAACTACCAACAGCTTCTTTGAAGAAGCTTCTTTGCCATTTACTGTCCTCTGAAAACCTGCTGGGGGATCAGCTGTGAGTCACCTCCAACTCAATGGCAGAATGTGTGTGAGTGAGTTCAGTTAAAGGTTTAGCCCAACAAAAGTTGCCTTTTGGGTACATGTGGTGGTAGGGTACCCCGACTCCCGGTTCCCCATGGACAGAAGAGGCCAGGACACGGCTTCCTTGAAAAGGTTTTCATTTATTATTAGTCTTTTCTGAAGCAGTTAATTCTCTTCTCTTATTTTTTAAAAAGAAGTGTGTTTCATCTAGAGTTATACCAAAATGATTAAAATGAGCTTTCTACCGGGGATACAGTTCCCCAGACCAGAGACACAAAAATACCCCCCACCCCCATTAACCACAAAGATAAAACCCGAGGAGAGCATCAACAATCCAAAACAATCCCCCAATATCCAGGACAAAAAATAAAATATTTATTGATCTATCACAGCGAGACACGAAGAGATGGGCGGGGTGGGGGATGCTCTGAAATAAAATGGCTCAGGGGGTTGGGGGGATACAGTACTGCGAGTGGGGAGACCAAGGATGGGAGGAGAATCCAGCCGCCCCGTGTCCCAGTCCGCACATCTCTACCCATTCAGCCCCTTTATGGGGGATCATGGGGGATGAGGGGGAAGGCGGAACCAGGACAGATTAACCAGGTCAATGTAGGCACCCTGGCAGCTGGCTGTGCCGGGCAGTAAACGGGGTCAAGGATGGACAGATGGGCAGTTGGATTCCACAAGACCAAGGGGAGGAGGTGTGCTATTCCCAGTGAGGGGATTCCCTGGACCCGAAGGTACCCCAAACCTGAGGAACAGCAACTGGTATGGGGAGAGGGGACCCAGGGTGGGGAGCAAGGGATGATGTGACCGAATCCAGCTTGAGGTTTAAGGTGCTTGGGTACCAACTGGAACACAGCCAGGAGTGGGTCCCGGTGGGCAGGGGGCAGTGGGGCAGCCTGGGAAGTGTCTGCACCATCTTCAGAGGAGCCCCAGGGAGGAGGTTCTCGAGGGGCTGCCCTTCCCTCCTCCCTCCCCCCAGGAAGATGAGAGCACCAGCATGTAGCACCAAGTTCCTATGGAGATGGAGAGTGTGCAGGGAGCTCCCGGGTGGGAAGGGTGTGGAGCAGGGGGCTGAGCCCACCCACCCCTTGCCTCTGAAGCAGGAGACTGACTTCCCAGGGCGCCCCTGGGCCATCACCCTCCTGGCTCTTTGTCCTGTGGATTCCCGAGCTGCCTGGCCTGTCCGTCCCCTCCCGGGTGGGGGGTGAGGGGCGTGGGGAGGGGTCATAGAGGGTTTACACTCTCCACCAAGCAGTAGCACCAACGTTGATGAGGTCGTGAGTCGGGGGTCCTGGGAAGCTCACTTTCTCTTCCGGCCACAAGATTTCCCCAGGCAGGCCCCACCTGGCAGGGGGAAGGGGAAGGGTGGGCATAGGATGGTCAGCCAGGACCTCTGCCGTTGCCTGCGCTGACCAGCTCTAAGCCGTCCTATCATAGAGCACCAGAGGCGGAGCAGAGGCTCTGAGAAGCCACCAGAGGCCAGGCCAACCCTGACCAGGCCTATCACACAAACCCACTGCAGGCAGTGGGTGGGTGGAGGAAGGCAGGGCAGGGCCCTAGGATTCAGGACAGCCACTGAATCACAGATGCATAGTGACCCTCCCTCCATCAGGCTTCTGAGATGGTAAAATCTCTACAAGAGGACACTGTCCCTTCTTTCTCCTGTGGAGAACCTGGTGGATTCAAACCTCTGACCTTTCGATTAGCAGGCTGACACATAAAGTACTACGCCACCACAGCTCCTTGTGGTTCGAGATAGAGAGAGAGAGAAAGGCCAGGTCTGAGGTCAGGGGCTCAGGGTGGGACAGGCCTGAAATCAGGACACAGCCTCCAAATGAAACCCATTTCCCTGAGTTACTTCTGGAAGGGGCCTTGCAGATCTCAGGTGGAGGTGATCCTCTTAGTATGGGGAAACAGACCCAGAGAGAGAAGGAAACTTACTCATCTGCACAGACAGTGTCTGAGCTAGACCTTAAACCCAGACCCTTGCCCCACTAGGACAGGGCCTGAGTCATTCACTGTAGCCCAATCAGAGTGGTCTCAGAGCAGAAGCTCCGGTGCGTCCTGAGGCTGCAAGTTGCACAGAAGGAGATAACCCTTCTCTCTCCCCTAAAGTCTCTGGTGGATTTGAACCTCCAGAGAACTGAGACCTCTGAGCACACAGGCAACTCTCTATGGAGTGGGCCACCCTTCCAATCTGACTAAAAATACCAGACTCAATTGCCGTAGAGTCAGAACTGACTCATAGCTGACCCACCAGGAGGCTTTCGGAGGCTGTAAATCCCCCAGGAGGAGGCTCTGCAGAGCTTGGATGAGAACCACCAGGGAGGTGCCCCCATTGAATTAGTGCCACCCCAGACAGCCAACACCCAGCACTACACCTCGACTTGATGGCACATAACAACAACAACAAAAGTCACATGGGTCAAGAGATTGCCCATCTTCTTGGGGAACAGTTGGTGGATTCGAACCTTGTCTCTCTGCGTTGTGTTCCTTTGCCCTGTATATCTTGAGGAGGGCACACAGCTCCTTACTACTTACCCCTGGGCCACCAGAGTTCCTGCGATCTGACCGTTCTGTGCTGTTGACGTATAGTGAGTGGCCCTATGAACAGCCAGCCTGTACCCTGCTCTATCCTGTGCCGTCCTTGTCATCTCCGACACACTGGAGGCCTTTGCTGAAGACACTGTGTTAATATTGGGGGGTCTTCTTCTTCCCTGACCCCTATCTTCCTACATATGATCTCCCTTTCCAAGGAATAGCCTTGCCTAGTTACATATCTCAAGTATGAAAGATGAAGCTTCTCCGTCTTTGCCTCCAAGGAGCATTCTGGCTGCACTTTTCCTGAGACATATCTGACTTTGTTGTTGTTAGGTTGTTGACCCGTAGCGACACTGTGAACCCTGTGTCCTATCTGACTAGTAAACCTCATTTCACTCAACCAGCTTTAGCATGAATGGCTTCGTTGGCTGACAGCAGACATAGCTTGCTACCGCCACCTGGTGGCAGCGAACAGATAGACGGACAGGACAAGGATCAGCCTCTAGCCAATCCAGAGGCTTTCAAAGCGCTGTGTTGGGTACTGGGAGCTGCACCCCCTGGACAGGGTCTCTTGGCTTTGCCTCTGCCCTTATGGAGCTGCTTTTTTCTTGAGACCCCTCTGGGCATGGACGGGGAGGGTCTGAGGGTGGGGTCAGGACCTCCCCCCCTCCCCTCAGCCCAGTGACATGTCTGCACTTTTGGTTAAGGGGGTGCAACACTTGGGATCCCTTGCCAGCTCCTTCGAATTTTTGTCTCTGAGCCCCCATGGCCTCTGTCTCTTTCTCTGGCTCTCAGGGGTCTCCCCTCCCCTGTGCCCATCTTTTTCCTCATGGCCATCTTGGCAGGGGGTGGTGGGGGCAGTAGGTTTGTCTGACCTGGGCCCCTTTCCCCCCCATCTGAATAGTCATGTTGGGGGTTGATGCTGAGGTATATAGGAGGGACATGGCTGTCCACCCTAGTAAGGCCAGGTCCAAGTGTGTCATTCCCTCAGCCTTGCCTGGCAGAAATGGCCCCCCCTCGCCTCCTTCGTGGAGCTGAAGGCCCTACTCACCTTGGTACCCCAGGGCCCCCAGGGCTCCTCCGTAGGGTTTGGGAGGTTTTCCTGTGGGTGGAGAGGCACGGAATCAGGGGAGGGCCAGGCTTTTCCGCCTCTCCCACTGCCCCACCCTGCACCCAGCTGGGATCTCTCCCCAGGAGATCTGAAGGTCTCTGAGACCCCAGCCTGCCCACGAGTACCCTCTTTGCTAGCCCCTGCGTCCTGCCTGTAGAGGTCCCAGCAGCACCTCATGGTCAAATCCCCCAGACAAACTTCCCAATCTCACCACGCCCCACTTCCATACAAATATTCTAAGCTCAGAACCTGTTTACAGTCAGACCCCTGCAAGCTTCTCAGCTTTGCCACCACACCTCTTCCAAGCCCCTGAGCATCCTGCTTTCTTTCCTTACATTGTTTATTCCCCTTTTTATTATTAACTCTCCTTTAGTCCCCAAGCCCTGGGACTGCCCTAGCTCCCCAGTGTCTAGTGAGGTGACAGGCCAGGAGCCTCAGGAATTGGGACCTTGTATACTCTGTCCCACTTTTAGGAATTCATGGTCTCTGGGTGCTGTCTCAAATGGCACTCCAGCGAGGACCAGACAGGGACGTTGGCCACACCAGGTACTTCCTCTCCAGGACTCTGCCCTCATCCCATATAGGGAGCTCGACCCCCCCCCGCCCCGGCCCTGCTTGAAGGGAGCCCCTCCAGGCCGACTTACCACCAACTCCCAGGCCCCCAGCTCCACCACCTATGAGGGAAGGAGAGGTCTATGGGTTCGTCTGCGGAGCCCCCAGCCCCTTGGGAGGCAGTGTGAGCAGGACTGAGCCCCGAGGTTGGGTGGGATGAGAGATCAGGACCTGTGACTGGGCCTCTATTCACTGGGTGGCCTTGGGGAGGTCCCTGGAATCCCCTAAGCCCCTGACTGGTGCTCCAGTGGGGACTGGAGCACAGGAAGGACGCTGTGTTTCCTTCCAGGGACCCGGAGAAGCATCAGGGGTGTTGTGGTAAATCAGTGCTCTCGGTCCTTCTAAGGGAGGGCCCTGGTGCTTGCTCAGACCTTCCATGATCTGGAGGCCTCAGTCCCTCTGGGCAGGAGATGAAGCAGGGAGGGAGTAGGGCCTGGGCCCCAGGATGCAGAACCTGGGCATACCTGGGTAAATGGGGGACAGTCCGAAGCCGAAGCCAGGTCTTGGTGCAATGCCTTTGAAAGAGAGGGTTGAGGTTGGCAGGAGGTGGCCCCATTCCAGCCTTCCTCACTCCAGCTCCTCTCCCCAGGACCACCTCCTCCCTGCCCCAGCTGCTGCCTGAGCTGCCCTGTCTGAATGTCCTTTCTTAGTGTCCTCATGGGGCCCCTGGCCCTGGCAGTGTCCTCTCGCGGAATGCCCCTCCCCACTCGCTCTCGTATCCTGTGCTGGACACAGGACAGGCCTCCTACAGCCCCTGGCAGAGCGGAGATGGTACCTACCATTGACTGCGATGGGCCGGGTGCCTCCGAGGACACCCCCAGGGCCACCAAGACCTGAGAAGCGGACGGAGGGTCAGGACAGGACATGGTATTCTAAGAGGCCCTGGGCACCCTCTCTGGGTTTGGGGGTCAGGAAGCTACTTACCGTATTTGGCTGCTTTAGCTGCAGCTGGAGACAAAACAGGGAAAAAAGAGGATTAAAGAGGGTTCTGGAATCATACCCCTATCTTGGGACCGCGTGCTCCCTCCCAAACCGCCTCCAGCTCACCATCTGCCACGGCCCCTCCTCCCCCAGCCCCCACCTTTCTATGTCTAGCCAGCTGCCTTTATTGAACAGTAGGGTGATCTGGTGGCTTGTTGTTGCTGTTAGGTGCCATCGAGTTAAGTAATACTCATAGCAACCCTATGAACAGCCAGCCTGAACCCTGCCCTACCCTGTGCCGTTCTCATTTCAGAGACACTAGAGCCCATGGCTGAAGGCACAGTGTCAGTCCAGCTCATTGCAGGTCTTCCTCTTCTTCGCTGACCCTCTCACTTTCCAAGCATGATGTCCCTTTGCAAGGAATAGCCTCGCCTAGCTCCATGCCCCGAAAAACAAAGCTTTAGCATCCTTGCCTCCAAGGAGCGTTCTGGCCACACCCTTTCCAGGACATCTGTTTGTTTTTTTAGGCAATCCCCGGGACATTCAGTGCTCTTCTCCAGGACAACTCAAAGGCATCAATTTTCCTGTCATCCTTATTCATCGTCCAGCTCTCTGATGTGCAGCAGGTCATTGAGAAGACTATGGTCTCAATCAGGTGCATCTTAGTCTTCAAACTGGCCTCATTGCTCTTCAGTATTTTGGAGAGGTCCCTGATGGTAGACTTGTCCAATGCAATACACCTCCTAATTTCCTGACTGCTGGTACCAAGGGTATTGATTGTTGATTCAGGCAAGACGAAATCACTGACAGCTTCAATTTTTTTTCTCCATCTATCAATTGTTTGCTATGCATCAGAGAGCTGGACAATGGCTAGGAATGGCAGAAAGAGAATTGATGCCTTTGAGCTGTGGTGCTGGAGAAGAGTGTTGAATATACCATGGACTGCCAGGAGAATGAACAGGTTCATCCTGGAGAGGGTGACGCCAGGATGTTCCTTGGAGGCAAGGATTCTGAGGCTTTGTCTGACACACTTTGGGCATGTTGCAAGGAGGGACCTGTTCTTGGAGAGGGACATGATACTTGGAAGGATGGAGTGACAGAGAAAGAGAGGGAGACCATCGATGAGATGGATTGATGGAGTGACTGGGGTAATGAGGGTAGGTGTGTCAGAGACAGTAAAGTTGGCACAGGGCAGAGCAGAGTTCAGGGCTCTTGTACATAAGCGTCGCTATGAGTCACAAACGACTTGACGGCACGTAACAACAACCACAACAACCACATCCTACTGATGACTGTTAGGCCTGTGAGGAGAATCTCTGTCTTCTTGATGCTGACATGTAATCCATTCCGAAGGCCGCAGACGAGCTTTTGTAGCAAGCGTTTCCTAGCCTCCTCATTTTCAGCAGCAAACTTGTGTCACCAGCATGACGCAGGCTGTTGATGACTCTCCCTCCAATTCTGATGCCGTACTCATAGTTTATAGAGTCTGGCTTTGCGAATGACTTGCTCAGCATACAGATTAAATAGGTATAGGAATTGCACTGCCAACACAAAGGTACGTGGTTCGAATCCACTCGCTGCTCCGCAGGAGACAGAAGACCTCCTCCTGTGCGATTTACAGCCTCTGAAAACCCACCGAAGGGTCAGCTATGGACTGGTTCAGACTCAACAGCACAAAGCAACAGAAATTTAACAGTGAGCTCAAGTATATTGGAGATGGTGAAGCTAGCCCAAGATAGGGCCAGGTCAGCTCCGTTCTTTATGGGCTTGCTGTGGGTCACAGCTGACCCGATGGCACTGAACAATAACAACAGCTGGGTACTCGCTCTTGTGGAGGAGGGCACAGGAAGGAACCTCCAGGCCACGTGGCAGGGATGCACAACCATCCCCCAGAAGAGTAAGAGGGGTGCACAAGGCTACCACAATGACAAGTCAGCCACTTCCTGGAAAGCTTTGTGTTCCATCCCCAGAAAAGGGGCCTAAACATCAGGGCTCCTCCAAGTGGTTCAGAAGCCCCAGAGAGGCCAAGTTCTCTCTCTCTCTCTGTCTCTCTCTCTC